TGAGAGGGGCTGTGGGGAGTCGTGGGGGCAACTGGGAGGGAGTTTGGGGAAGCCCGGATGGGATAGGAGGGAGGTTGGGGGGATATTGGGTTGACTGGGAGGGGGTTGGGGAAGTGCTAGGAGGGCTGGGAAGGGACCAGGAGGGGTTCAGGGGGGTCCTGGGGGTGATGGGAGGGGGGTTGGAGGGTCCTAAAGGGGACGGGAGGGGCTTTGTGGGATACTGGAGGGGCTGGGAAGAGACTGGCAGGAAGTTTCAGAGAGTCCTGGGTGGGCTGGGGGAGACCAGGATGAGGTTTGTGGGGTCCTGGGTGGTCTCTGGGAGGTTTTGGGGGTCCTGACCCCCCCGGCTCCCACTAGTGATGCCACAGGACACCGTCCATACCAAGATCCTGGTGGGGGTCGGGGCCTTCGTGTTGGGTTTCGTCTTCCTGGCGCTGGGACTCGGCTTCTACCTGCGGGAGAAGGTAAAGGGGGGTCCCCGAGGGTCGTGTCCCCCCTTCCCCAGAGCGTGTGTGCCCCCCCTGTCCTCCCAGCCCGCTGTCACCCCTTTTCTCTCCCCACAGAGCTCCTGAGCCGGCGGTGGCCGCAGCCCCTCCCCGTGGCCTCAGGCCCAACCGGGACCCCTCAGTCCATCCCCACTCGGATTTTGGGGGGGTCGTGTGTCCCCCCCGACCCTGCTTTTGTTCTCACACCAACCACCTGCTCCCAGTGCTCCCAGTAAAGCTTCCCAGTTCTCTGCAGTCCTGGTGTTGAAGGGCAGGTGCCCTCCCAAAGCCCCCCAGAATCAGCTTACACAAACAGTACAATGGTTGGCCCCCGTTGTCTTTCTGCTTCCAGGAGTCTGTATTTTTCTGCCATGTCTGGTTCAATGTTTTCTCAGCTTAATGGCTCCAACTGTGTCTGCTTTGTTTAAAGAAAAAGGGGGAAGTGTAGGGATTTTTAGTGCTAACACAGAGGATATGCTGCAGCTGTGAGAACATAACCTTATGTTGCAATTGTGAAAACATGATCTGCTGTTCTGATGGCCTTCTGATGGTACCAGGATGGGAAAGATCTACCAAGAGAAACAGTAGCAAAACTGGATATGCAAAAGAGGGTCTCAGTACCGGCTGTCAGAGTGGGAAAGGACGTAAAGAATGTTAAAGAAACAGAGCTGATAGAAGAGTATTGTTAGAAAACTGGATCAAAGACTGCTGCTTGATTCCAATCAACGGCGCTCTCTGATCATCACATTGGTGTGCTGAGTCGTCCCTGCTCGCATGAAAACCCCCCAGGCAGGTGCCCTCCCAAAGGCCCCCAAACATCCCCAACATCCCCAGTGATGTCACCTCTGTCCCCAGTGATGTCACCGATGTCCCTGAGATGTCACTGATGTCCCTGTGATGTCACTGGTGTCCCCAGGGATGTCCCCAGTGTCCCCAACGATGTCACCACTGTCCCTCTGATCTCACCGACATCCTCAATGATATCAATACTGTCCCTGTGATGTCACCACTGTCCCCAGTGATGTCACTGGTCTCCAGTGACAT